GGCAAGTTGCGGTCTTACTCCTCACCGACTCACTCTGGCCCAAGTTCACGCAGGTTCACGCGCAGTTCCTCCTTCTTCGGGTTGCTGGGGGGCAGAGGGCTTGTTGGTGTGAAGCCTGACTGGGGCAGCTTCAGTTGTTCGTCTGCTTTGGCTTTGTCAGTACATCGAAGAATGTCGTTGTGCTGGGTGAGGACTAGGGTAATCGTTTCGGTTTAGGCTGAATCTTTCAGACACATCGGCCTCGTTTCGTCTAGCTTTTATGGGGAGTTAGTTTCGAACGTGTAGAAAGACATTCTCAATAAAGAACCCTTTAGCAGTTTTGAGTGTGCGTCCTCTGAGCTCCGCCGGTCTGACATGGCGCTGGCCGTAACATCTTGGAGAGATCCACCGCCAACTGCCGGAGCCACGGTTACGGAAGCCGACCTGGCTCCGCAGACAGCAGGCCAGAACGGGCCGACACAGCCTAGTACAACGTCACAGAATATAGACAAAAACGTTCAACATATCGAATGCGTGGTCTGTGGGGATAAGAGCAGTGGTAAACACTACGGTCAGTTCACGTGCGAAGGTTGCAAATCCTTCTTTAAGAGGAGTGTCAGGCGGAACTTGACCTACACTTGCCGCGGTAACAGAAACTGCCCAGTGGATCAACATCACCGTAACCAGTGCCAATACTGCCGCCTCAAGAAGTGTCTTAAGATGGGCATGCGTAGGGAGGGTAGGTTCCCAGGTTAGCTTGCTTTTCTCTAACGTTAACAAAATGCCACTGGTCAGTAGTGACGTAATAGAGGTCCAATCCAATAACCAGAGGCGATAATAACATTCTTCTTTGTCGTAATCCTTAAACTATTCCCGATAACTAATTTATAGAGGTTACAAGGTACAAAGCTAATCTCGTACCAAAAGCACATATCCTAGGACCAGTATCCTACATCCAAAACACAGAGATATCTTGTATATTGTATATATATCATTAGGACATTCCCAGCTTCTCAGTACCTTTCAAATAGGATATGGTTGTATGGATTGTTAGTTAAACTAAATACAAACATGGTCGTATATAATGTACTGTACGTATTGATATTATAGTGTATATAGTGTACTGTACATATTTATATTATAGTGTATATAATGTACTGTACGTATTGATATTATAGTGTATATAATGTACTGTACGTATTGATATTATAGTGTATATAATATACTGTACATATTTATATTATAGTGTATATAATGTACAGCACGTATTGATATTGTGATGTATATAATGTACTGTACGTATTGATATTATAGTGTATATAATGTACTGTACG